GAGTATAACATTATAACATGATATAAAACTCAAAAAAGTTGATTTTACATGATATTGCCCCTTTAATATTTTTTCTTTGTTTTGAATTTCAGATCCTCCTTCAATGGTTGTTCTTAAAACATTTGACACACTGTTCAACTCAGTGCATCTTTCAAGTACTTTTTTCTGTATAATTTTGTTTAAAGACTCTGATGTGTGAATCACTCAGACATGAGGCTAATAAACTCAAAGGATGAACMAGTGTGGTGTGAATACATAACGGACAACTTGATAGAAAAACAATTTGAAAGTGGATCTTTAGGACCTGTCTTACCTTCAGCCTGTCATGCTCACTTTCTTCCTCATGCCTTTAGTTGTATCTTTAAAACATATCAAAGATACCACAGTTTTGCACATAAAATATTRTTTTAGCTCCAACAAGGTGCTTTCCAAAGAGCTGTTAGCTGAGAACTTGTAGATTGTCAACTGAAGGACATTGCATCTCTGAGGTATTTTCAATATTTTTTTTCTCCTGTAAGACTTGCAGATATTGTTCATGTGGGAGACGGTTCTTTTTAGTTTTGACACTTCTTTTGTGAAAAGCGTGTCCACTTTCATTATTTTTTTAAAGCAAGTACAAGACAATATCCTGTCACAGTCAGTTACAAGGACTGAAAAAAACAGAAAAGAAGTCAAAGTCCAAAGAAAACACATCCAGAAAGCCTGGAGCACTAAAMGAAAATTATAGGAACAGCTTGTGAGGAAAATATGAATATAATACACTCTGTAGTAGTGTTCAGTATAATTTTCATATCCTTTTGGAAAATGTTCAAAATTGGAAGCCTTAAAAATGCGCATAATACCCAATCCAGTTTTCAGTTAAAAATGTTAAAAATCCATGTCATCCTCACCCTGTGTCTGTGGCCCTGTGACTATCAAAACAAAATGGCTTCTAACTCCCTGTGCTGCTTTAAACTTATGTGTCCTCAGCAAACCATGATATAAAATAGAACACCCTGGTCACATCCTTGAGGGCGGCACCTCTTACGTCAACCCTGAAATATCGAGATCTAAACATTATTGTTACGCTGCTGAAGGGAGCGCATATTAAAAGAGACATGTTTATCCTATTACASTTTAAAGTAAATAACTGTAACCAATCTCAAATTATAAAATACAAGACTGTATSTACCCCTCTGCAGAATCGCCACCTTAATGTGGTAGAGGGKTTTGAGTACCCCCATGATCATGGGAGCAATGTTGTCTGTGGCCTCTGATAGGGTCTTCAATGGCAAACAAGCCTCAGGGCAGTGGTCATATTAAGAGCAATTTAAAAGCCCTTGGTGAAATGGAACAGCAGCCACATCATAAAACCTTGCCCGGAAAAAATAAGCCCTGGCACCACCCTGGAGCCGATGTCTCGGGAGGGGGAGCTCACCAGCGAGGTGGTTGATCCTTGGCTCCTGAAGTCCGGCTGAAAGGACAACAGGAGGCCACCTCCACATGGACCCATGACCTACGGGAAGGACCATCAAGGTTGGGTGCAATTCAGGCCAGCCAGCAGGTGAGGTAGAGTACCTGCTTGTGCTGATTCTTGGCGGCATAAACTAGCGTATGAYGTGGTTCTGCTGGCGTCTTCAGGCCAAGATCTTCAGTGGGTACCGGGGCGTTTCACAAAGTGAAGTGAAGCGGTTGGGATGAGAGTCAGTTCCTCTAAGTCTGAGGCCAYGGTTCCTGATAGGAAAAAGGTGGAATGCCCCCTCYTTTGTCGTGGGAGAGTCTCTGCTTTGCCTCAAGTGGAGGAGTTCAAGTRTCTGTGTGTCTTGTTCACGAGTGATGGTAGGATGGAGYGGGAGAGGTTCTTCCAAAACTGTAGAAATCACCATCAAATCTATTTTGACCAGCCATATCCCAACCTTCTAGTAAATATGTGAAGCCCACAATCTGCAGCATCTGGAAGATTTCAGCCAGCATGGTGTTTGCAACTAGGCTGCATGCACCGATTTCCCGCAGCATTAAAGGGGCAATATTATGTGTTTCTCAGGCATGAGGAAGCTTGGATTAAAGACACGTCCCAGGGACGTTTCTGGTACCAAAAGGCGTTTCTGGTCCCCACCTGTCGTTTTGCTCCTCAGCATGGCTGCCTAAAAACACTGCAGGATTTCTCAAACATGCATGAATGAGTCAAAGCAAGGCTTTGGGCATGTTTTTTTATGAGAGTATAACAGTATAACATGATATGCAAGTCAAAAAAGTTGATTTTTACATGATATTGCCTCTTTAAAAGACACCATATAGTTTTCTCTGTTTGTTCACACTGCTACTCGTTTAGAAGTAGCTGCAGGAGTTTGCATTGACTGTGGRGGCATCCTCTTCCCTCAGGCTGTAAAACATCTCAGCACCACTGAAACTGCGTCTCATAATTAAACACCAAGCTTGGGTACAGCGCAGTGCGCTTATTCCAATTTTATTTAGCATAATGTGCTTTTAAATTTACATCTAGTCCCGTTTTCACTGTGTGCACATCTGCCCACATAGTTTGATTAGTGACGAGGATGACTGTGTGTTTTTTTGTTATCTTTCTATTCACTGTGAGTGAAAATAATTGCAACTCATCATTCTTAACCTTTTCATTGAGAAGCAGTGTTCCCTTTGATRTTGCTTGAAATCTCTGAGCAGAACTTTTGTTCTACTTTAGTTCAAACCAACTAACGCAACAGCAGATTTTGTGCCTTTTGTTGCACTCAAACATGGAAAAGTAATTAAAAAGATAAGATTTCCGTGTAGTGCMGAGTAGCTTTTCTGAGGGGGCATTAGTTTCAGGAAGCGAGCACTGATGACAAAAAGGCTTTGACGAGGAGAAAATGGCAGTGTCGCCAACGTTGGCTGCTGGCCAGTTTCACATGCCTCTGAGTGTCCTGAGGGTTATTGCTGCTTTTGGGKGTTTCTTCTCAAAGACTTTCTGATGTGGCATTGTAAAATCTATGTGAAGCATCTTTGTCATGACTGAAATGCCAGTGGGAAGTGCCCTTGCAGCATACATAAGCAACCCAATGTGTTTAAAATGCAGCTTGTTCCAGTAGTACGAAGATGAATAAAGGAATAACATCCACCTAAAGTAATTTCACAATCGATTGTATCCTCTATTGCTGCTTTGGAAATCTTACAAACGTTAGCTTTATTAGTTTTAAATAAATTTCCGTAAGCTTTTTTTTCTGTTTAGCTTAGCACAAAACAAAACAACAAAAATTTGAATAAAAGCTCAACTCACCTGTACTGGAGCTGTTCCACCGGCTAAAGGTTTACTTCAAASAGTGCTGTTTTTCCTCAGACAAAAAAAAAAATCCCTGTGATGGGCTACTAAAAGCTCATTAGATACTTTGAGATCCTAAACATGCACAATCCCAATAGCAACCTTTTTGTTTCGGTTATGTTTTTGTGTCATTTTCCCCCATTCATAAAATCTTGTTTGGTTTTAGCTAAGACCCTTTCACTGAGGGGGAGATTTGACTTTACCCCTGGTGTAATTGTAATGGATAAAACTTGACAACATTACTTAGAGCAGCAAAAATCACACTCAAAACAAGYGTGGTTGCACAAAAAAAGTTGTGAATATTTCTGAATTGCTGTTAGTGTCTTRGAACTAAGGGATGAGTAATTTGCTAATGTGATAAAAGTGAGATGTTGCCAGGTTTCTTTTTTTTTTTTTGAATGTTGTCAGACAAGACACCACTTCTGAAATGCAGCAGAGACAAACTGCAGTGCTGAGATGTTAATGATCCTAAACCCTGTTAGTTTTATGTTYCTTAAAAGACAGTCTCTCTTTATGACCAAGAATAACTGAGGGRCATTATTAAAATCATTCATTAGCGGTGTCTTAAATTGGAAAAAATATATATTTAGTGCCTTTTTGCTGCTCCACAGATATTTATCATCCATTTTGTCTTAGGAGGTCATGTTCCTTTTCATTTTTTAAATTATTWATTTTATATACAAACTTCTTTTTCATGAAGTAAATTTATTGAAGCTTTCTATTGCTCTGACACGTACCTGGTTTAAAGTTGGAATAATTCTTCCCTCCTGTTATCTCATGTATTGCACCTTTTGATAGTCGTGAATATTAAGTTGGTTCCATCTTTCTGTCTTTCATACAGTTTTACTAAACAGTTACACTAATAAAACAAGTAATTTATCTGAAGTGGTGCCTGATTATGCCATCTTGGCTCAGGGAAAAGGTGAATTAGTGTTGTATGTAGTTGACAGAGCATCAAAGGGATTCATCTTGACACCTGTGTCATCTACAGTCTTGTCCTGGAGGACAGTAAGATGCTGCACACATAAATATCTCTAGGCTAGAAGGTGTTCCGAATGTTGAATTAGTTGATTAGTTTGCAATAATGTCTCTCCTTTGAGGTTCAGATGGATTAAGTAATTGATGACTCAATCTTTTCATTTCCTTCTAGGACTGGGTAAAAATGAAAGTTCCCATCCCTCTCCTGATCTTGCTACATGCTTTCGTGGTCCATTGCCTGAAAGTTGTGTCTAAGAGAGGTTCAGGTAAGTTTTGTTTCTCCTTTTTTCCTTCTTAGTAAYGAACTAAAATACAAATCTACTCTGCATCCAATAAACAAACCTACATTAGCAGTTGCTGCAGTTTGTAGAGACCCCAAATGACAACTGAGGAAAAATACCACCATCCTTCATTAGCTCTCTCTCTCTCTCTCTCTCTCTCTCTCTCTC